CAGAAATGATGAACAAGCCAGCTTTTTAAACAAAGAAACAATAAATTCGTGGAGAAATGACAGGACAAAGATATTAGGTTTGGGTGCTCATTAGCGAGGACCCTAAACGAAGGTGGGCTTGGGTAGTCCATTAATGAAGGAGTGACAAAGGGTGTGTGCGAGGTGTTTGGCCCCGGATGCCGTCGCTCCAATGATAAGGCGTCCCTCTGAGCCCTGCCGGAGCAAGGAGGCACCCCCCACACGGGAGGTGTAGTGTCTGCATTCAAGGAGACGAGGAAGGGTCGACATGCCCATCTGCGCTGGCGGCTTATCAAATAACTTTAAATGAGAGTAATCAGTGTGCCATTGTGGGATAATTGGGGGCAGCCTGCCCCAGGCCTCAGCACCTGCAAAGTAAAAGTGGTCAGTGCTATGAGGAACCAAGTGTTGCAAGTTGGGAATCCACATCTATAAAACGGAATATAGTGGCTCCCTCATAGAGTTGTGGGCTTCAGTTAATACACGTCAGGTTTTGGAGCAGCGCTTAAAACAGTCTGTGCTCAGTAAGTGTTGGCTGCTGCTATTACTTCTGCTGTAATTATCATTGCTATTGGCAGGATTACTCTGCAGAAACGCGGGGCGGGCAGCCTCGGAGAAGCAGACGCTGGGATTGTGCCTCTGCTCTGAACTCCACAGCTGTGAGCAGAGATACCTTTGCCGGCCCTGCAGTTCAGTGACATTAAGAGAACATGCCTGACCTGCGTTGCCCCCTTTCCCAACACCCCACATCCACCTTGATCCCGCAGCGGGCCTGACATTTGCAAAGGATTGTCGCCTGGAAAGTTTTTCCTTCTTAGTGTACCCTTAGAACACGTTCCCTCACCTGAATTGCCCTGCCAGTAGCTTTGAAATCCTTAGATCAGTAGCCTCCTCAGCAGCTCACTCCGCCTCTTAGAACTGAAGTATAATTCATAATGGAAACAATGTGAACAAGGAAAATTATTGCCTAACTGAACATATCTTTGGCTCTAAAAGAGTGGACATTTATAAAGCTAACCCAATGCCTTCCCCTTACCTCCTATTTCTTAATATATTTTGCACCTCTTTCCATATCTGGGGCTTTTTCTCTCATCTGGGAAATTGTATTCTCCTTACTGTGTTCCTTGTTCTAAGTTCCCTTGTTCTGCCCCGAGGCCCCTCCCCTATATCCTACTCAAAATGAATACTCCCTGGATTACAAAATTTGTGAATTAACTTTTTTTAAAAGAGGAAGAAAAAAGAACTAGCGAATCTCTTTTTGGCAATATGATGGCTTAGGTATTCCGAAATTCTTCCATTGTAAGCCATCTGAAAATGATAAGATTTTCGAACCTAGGGAGGTAGGCTAATCCTGGGGCTGCTAAAAACCCTCAGGGCATCTCTGGATCTGGGCTCCCAAAGAGGCATGCTGGAGATATGATGCCACAGCTTTTGGCACAGAAGGACAAAAAGATGGAGAATATGAGGGGGTGTGGAATGGAGTAAGAAGGATCAGAGGTTGCAGTAATGGATGCAAAGGAGGAGATGATATCCAAAAGGATAATGACAAGAAGTATATGGAAATGATAGAGGAAGCCTAAAGAAAATCAAGTTAGATAAATTTAAAGAAACCTATTCTTACTTAGACATTACATTTAGACTCAAGGTAAACATTCCAACAATTACGGGAGCCAAAAAAGATATGAAATAATACCTTCATAAGAAAAAGTACCTGCCATCCTAGAATTTTTAATGAAATACTTTTTTTATATTAACAAAGGTAGAAAAAGATTTACCACCAAAAGTCTCTCAAAATGGGGACATCTGTAATTATATAAACAATAAAAAAATTTTAAAAAGAAACTTGCTAAGTATAGATTTCAATAAGTAGTTAAAGATGGCCTCCAAAAATCACTCTGAGGTCCAGAAGGCAGTAATGAATTAAGGGTAGTAGTAAACACAAGAGTAAATATAAAGGCAATGACAGTTGATAGAAAAATAATGACATCTATTTTAGCAGTATTTAAAAAAAAACTAAAGTAACACTTTTTCACAATAGTCAACCAGATTTGTTAAAATACATCCGCCTACCAATTCCTTTCCACCTTGTAAGGAAAGTCGTTGAATCGGATACATTGGGATTCCAGTCAATAATCTCCCTCATTCCTCCCATCCTGTTCGTTACATAACTGCATTACACCTCTTTCCTTAGTTGTGTGTGCTTAATATGTGCTATGAAATCAGTTTTAACTCACTCTTCAGTCACCATTATGAGGAACAGTGCCCCTCATTCATTGTTGTCTGGCCCATGCATTTCACATGAGGAGCCTCACCAAGGGTGCAAAAGCCGTAGAAGCAGAGCGCGCACTGCATCTTTGTGGCTCCCGTAATTGTTGGAATGTTTACCTTGAGTCTAAATGCAATGTCTAAGTATAGGTTTCTTTAAATTTATCTAACTTGATTTTTCTTCCCTGTATCAACTCATTAGCACCCTCACCACCTCATCTATAAAGTGGAGGTAATAATAGTATCTTATCTTTAAAATTATGGTGTGGGTTAAGTGGGTTAATATATGTAAAACCACTCAGAGCAGTGTTTTCATAGCACACTAGCTATACACTGTTGAGCACTTGGCTCTAATTTATCTCATTAGGAGAGTTGGGTTGCTTCATTTAGGTTTAAACAACTAAATTATTATTGTGCAAAAACAAGATTAAGTTTTACACTCCTGTGGGAGATGGAAAAATAGAGAGTGTGCCCTGGCTGGTGTGGCTCAGGGGACTGAGCACTGGCCTATGAAGCAAAGGGTCACCGGTTCCATTCCCAGTCAGGGCACATGCCTGGGTTGTGGGCCAGGTTCCCAGTAGGGGACAGTTGAGAGGCAACCACACATTGATGTTTCTCTCCCTCTCTTTCTCCATCCCTTTCTCTAAAAATAAATGAATAAAATATTTTTAAAGAAAGAAAGAAAAGTAGAGAATGCAATACAGGGTTAAATCCTACTGCATTAGTATTAGTCACCCGTGGGTGACTTAAGATCACATTTCAGTTGGCTCTCCAACTGAACTTTGGGATCTGCTTCTGGTAAGTTTAGTGTGGTAATGACAAAGAGCTGTTAAAAATTTTTGTGAACATGTGCATGGATTCATAGAGAGGAGATTTCTACTTGAAAAGTAGAGAAATAAATGTGTAGATGTTGCAAATGAAGGAAGCTCCAGGTGCTGCAAAACTAGTTTTAGGGCTTTGGGGAAAGCCTTTAAAATCTAGGACCTGTATTTCTCAAGTAGAAAACAAAAGGGTTTTTTTCCTAAATTTCTTTCCAGCATTAGCCAGTGCTTTGCCTTAGGTTATGTGGATTATCCACATTTTAAAATGAAGCAGCTGAAGTCCCGAGAGTTTGCGGGCTGGTCGGGAGTTACGCAGTTAAGGGGTTGGTGGGCGAGAGGCAGGTTGAAGGCCAGGTCCAGGTTCCAACAGGTGTGTGTTTGTGTCAGACGCCTCCTCCACCCCACGGTCCCGCTCTACGACAGTGCCTGCCGCCCATGGTCACTTCTGTGTGCACTGTTCTCACATAGACCATGTCAGTATTTGACTGTCTATTAAAAATAGTTGATATTTTTCATATATTATATATAGGATCTATGATTCTCTTTCTAGTATCCCTTTTTTCTTTATAAAAGATATGGTATACTTTTTTGATCATTTTTTTTAATACACACTTTTAAACCTTACGTAGTGGAAACAGATGGGACTTTTTTTTTTAATTTCCCCTGGAAACCTGCAGAGCGGATGTTTTGAGTCCTTTTTTGCCAGGTGGACAGCGCAGCATGGCATTGGCAGGAGCACCCACGTTCTGTAGGTGGATATTCACCCAGGTTCCAAGCCTGAGAATTCTTGAATCTTCAGTTAAAGGGGATTTAAAGGATTTAAATCTTAAAAATAATGTACTTCCTAATTTAATCAGGTGTCCCAGATAAAGGCTGTCTAAAAGGCAGCCACAGAGTTGACAAAGAAATAAGAATAAATAGCCCCCCTACCTATTTGGACAGACATGTTTAGAAAAATACCAATCATTTTTCTAAAATAATCATTTTCCAGTTACAGATTTATTTTTTTTTTAAGATTAAGAATTAATAGTTAAACTGTTCTGCTAATCTGTGTTTTCACTTTAGGAAAATCTGTAAAAGTTTCTATAAGTCAGTAGAGACCTTCTACATACTTGGTGGTCCAGCAAAATAGGAAGAAAAGGGATATAAGGGCTTCTGAAAGAAAATCCTCATAGAGAAATTCTTTGAGGGTGCCGAATATCTGCCTTGTGCTGTGCCAGGTTCTGTGAATTCTAAAGATGGTCATTCACAATCTCCTGAAAGAGAAATTTAAACAAAAAGTTACGTTGCCATGCAGCAGGTTCTGCAGCAGAGTTACCACAGGTGGTCTTAGGAGTAATAATAATTAAAAGTTATCATCTGGTTGGGGGGTGCAGGGCAGAAATGGCAAGAAGAATCCTTTCATATTCTGAGACTTTTTTTGATTCCTAGAAACTGCCGCAAAGCCATAAAGGCAGTGGTACATGAGTGTTTTAAACGTTCTCTTGGGTTAATGTGTGTTTCCAGTATCCCTTTCGGCTGCCGCAATGCCGAAGCCCTCTCGCCTGGAGGCCCGCCGCGGAGCCCTTCTGGCTGGCCTCAGCTCCCTCCTCTCTCCTTCTAGCCCTGTGGCCATGAGAGATTACTTCTCTGCACTTCGGTTCTGTAAAAAGCAAGAGGAGTAGTACCTGCCTCTTGGGATTAGTGTGATGATTATATGAGCTAATTCATGAAAACATTTTTAGAATACTGCCTTAAGTTACGCAGTAAAACCCAAGAAAATCTTAGTTCTCGTTACTAGTTTTGGTAGCTGATAGACCAGGAACTTTGAAACACAATTACCACAATGATGTTGATCATGTAGGTCTAAAATGCTCATTTCTATCTGATAAAATTTTTATTTTCTCTCCTTTCTAGCCCCAAGAGGAAAGCGAGGATGGAAAACGTTTTATGCTGTGCTAAAGGGAACAGTTCTTTACTTGCAAAAGGTACGAATAAGTTTATTTATTTATTTATTAAAACTATGCAGTGATAGGTAAGTTACCCCGAAAACATTCAGTTTGTACAAACACCCAAAAGACTAGCTGATGTCTAAATTCTTTTATATGTTTTTTTTGTTTCTAATTAAATAATTATTTTGAATATTATACATACATTATATGTATAATCTTTTATCTTTACATATAAAGTGTAAGTGTGTGTGTGTGATCAGAGGGAATAGACATGTTCTCATGTTCAATTGGAAATTTTGAATGTATATTGATGTGTTAAACTTCATAAGGTCTGTGTAGTTACAGACCTATGGCAGCACTTATTCTAATGGATATTTATACTATAAATTAGTTAACTTTTATTTATTGTAACTTAACATGCCTTTGTTTAGTTATCTATCTTCATTTAGATCCTGCCTAAATCTAGATATAGAACCTACCAAAACTTATGAAATACAGCAAAAGCAGTACTGGGAGGGGAGTTTATAGAGAAAAACACATACAATAAAAAATATATATATTTACAGTAAAAAACCTAATTTTGCACCTCACGTAGCTAGAAAAAGAACAAAGCCCTAAGTTAGTATAAAGAGGGAAACATTAAGGTTAGAACAGAAATAAATTAAATGGAGACCAGAAAAAAATAGGGAAAAAATCATTGAAACTTAAGATTTTTTAAAAGATCAATTAAATTGACAAGACTTTAGCTAGACAACTAAAACAAAAAAAAAGAAAAGACTCAAAATCAGAAATGAAAGGAGAGGTGGTACAACTGATGCCACAGAAATTAAAACAGTCACACCAACAACCTAGAAGAATTGGATATATTCCTAGAAACATACAATCTGCCAAGACTGAATAATGAACAAATAAAAAATCAGAACAGACCTATACCTAGTAAGGAGATAGCATCAGTAATCACCAGTTCACAAGTAAATTCTACCAAACTTTTAAAGAATTAATGCTAATGCTCCTTGTAGTATAAAAAAATACTACAAGAAAAATACAGTCCAATATCCCTGATGAAAATAGATGCAAAAATCCTCAACACAAAATGCCAGCAAACCAAATTCAACATCATATTAAAAGGAGCATACATACACTGTGACCAAGTAAGATTTATTCATGGAATACAAGGATAGTTCAACACATGAAAATCAATTAGTATAATAAACCCCATTAACAGAACAAAAGTTATAAATCACATGATCTTCTCAATAGATGCGTAAAAACATTTAGTAAAAATTCAACACCTTTCATTATTTAAATCATTCAACAGTTAGAAATACGTGGAATTCACCTTACTGCAATAGAGGCTATATATGAAAAGCCCACAGCTAACAGAAGGTACTCAGTGTTTGATTGGGGAGTTTCTCCTGTTTATACTTAAAGTAGTTATTGATAGAGAAGGATTTACTATTGGTGTTATATAAGTTGTTTTGTTTTGTTTTGTTTTGTTTTTTGTAGCTTTTTGACCCTCTTTTTCTCTGTTGCTGTCTTCCTTTGTGTTTTGTTGGTATTTTGTAGAAACATGCTTTGATTGCTTTCTCATTTTCTCTTGTGTATTTTCTGTAGGGATTTTCTTTGTGGTTACCAAGAGACTTACGTGAAACATTTCATAGTTCTAACAGTCTATTTTAAGCTAATAACAACTTAATTTCAATCACTTAGAGCAACTCTACACTTTTACTCCCACCCCCGACCATATACAGAATTTATGATAATTGATGTCAAAATTTACTTCTTTTTGTATACCCATTAACAGATTTTGGTTTTTATAGTTATTCTTGGTACTGTTCTCTTTTAATATTTATACTATGGTTAAAAGTGATTTGTATAGTATTTCATTATTCTGTATTCATATATTTACCTTTACCAGTGAGATTTATATTTCATATATTTTCATATTGCTGTTCCATTTTCTTTCATATTCTTGTTTTTATTACAGTTATTTATTGTAAGGCAGGTCTAACAGTGACAAAGTCCATCAGTTATTGCTCATCTGGGAAAGTCTTTATCTCACCTTTGTTTTTAAAAAAAACTAATTTGCTGGCTATTCTATTCTTGGTTTGCAAGGGGGAGGGGATTTCCAGCATTTTGAATATATCATTCTACTCTCTCCTGACCTGTAAGATTACTGCTGAGAAATCCTATGATAGTCTTACGCGTTTTCCTTGTATATGACAAGTCTCTCTTCTCTTGCTGCTTTCAAAATTCTCTCTTCATCCTTGATTTTTGACATTGATTTTGTGTCTCGATCTGGATGTCCATTCCTTCCCCAGGTTTGGGAATTTGTTGGTTCTGCAGCAGCAAGCCACCCAGCTCTCCCCTGCTCTTAGCCGCAGCAGCCAGGATCCAGGATATTGCAGGCCCCCGTCAGTGCCCCGCGTCAGGCGAGACAGGCACCGTTTCTCTTGGGCAGCCCTCTGATGAGCCAGAATGCAAAACACACGCTTTCTGTCCTCTTGCCCCTCCCAAGAGAGAAGCCTTAGGTTAGGCACCTTCTCCCAGTCTTTGCCCTTTACCCATTCCAGTGCAGCTGATTCTTGGTTTTTGCTTGCCTGAAGTACTGCAACTTCTTAACTGCATTCTGTCGTTCTCATTAAGGTATTTTGATTTGTATATCATTGTTAAATTGGTGTTTCTCGGGGGGAACAAGAACTGAGAACTTCTAGTCTGCCATCTTGCTGATGTCATTCCTAGGAAAAGACTTTTAAATCTACTTGGACTATGACATAGTTTTGGCATCCTTTTCTTTTTACTTATAAACGTTTCTAAATTAAAAAAATAGTAGAAGTGTATTTTTTTGGTCAGTCGGTATCTGGTGACCATGAAATAGTAAGCCATATGGTTTTATTTTTTTCCCTCTTAATAGGGTTTATAACAGCATTCATTTTAATTGCTTATAATATTTTTCATTGAGTAGACTTACCAAATGTAATTTTTCCCATTGTTAGAGGTCCCCACTTTAAGTTTTGCACTGTTATATATAACGGTGTATATATTTGTGCACATATCTGTTTATTTCCTGAAGGTAGATTACTAATAGTGTCATGGGTCACAGGAACAGGGTAGGAATTGTTTAAATTGTAGGCATACCTCAGAGATGTTTCCAATTTGGTCCAGACCACTGTAATAAAGCAAATCACACAAGTTTTTTGGTTTCCCAATGCATATAAAAATTACTTTCGTACTATACTATGGTCTATTAGGTGTAAAATGGAATTATGTAAGAAAACAATGTACACACCTTAATTAAAAAATACTTTACTGCTAGAAAATGTTAGCCATCATCCTTTAGCAAGTAGTAATCTTTTTGCTGGTAGGGCATCTTGCCCAGGTAACATCAAAGATCCCTGATCACAGATCATTGTAACTTATACAATAATAATGAAAAAGCTTGAAGTATTGCAAGAATTACCAAAATATAACACGGAGACATGAAGTGCGCAAATTCTGCAGAAGAATGGCACCAACAGACTTGCTCTGTGCACAGTTGCCACAAACCTTCAATTTGTAAAAACAGTACCTGGGAGGCACAATAAAACAAGGTATGCCTATAATTAAGACATATTTATAGATTACCCCCAGAAAAGCTGAACAAGATCTTTTAGTCCCATTAACAGTTTATGACAGTATCTGTCTCACCGCAGCCAAGAAAAAGGTCTCATCCACTTTTGAGCCCTTTGTTTTCAGTGCACAAGCACATGCCCTGACACACCTCATGCACTGCAGCTGCCTTCCCATGCTGCGCTTCCCCAGAGCTGTCCCTCGGGGCAGCGCCTGTGTCACTGAGTCAGCCAGCCTGCGCCGCTGGAACCGCTGAGATCACACACAGCTTTGAAATGGAGGTATACCTCTTGGGGGGAAAGGTATTGGATTCATTTTTTAAAAAATATTAATGCCATATATAATACAATTGAAAGAATTATTCTTTTTGAAAAACCAGCCTTTCTTAGGAATCCACCCAGATCAGTATTTTAAAGGACCTTGAATGCACTGCATTATATCCTGTTTCAACAGCTGGCATGTCACCAGAGCAGCTTCGTAAGGAACACTTCTCTAACTGCCTTTCGTTCTGTCTCTTTGGTGGAACTTTATTCAGATGACTAGACTGGGAAGGACCATATTTAACACAAACCCCCGCCCCCTTTTTTAGATTCCTTTTGAAATATATTAGATAAGGAATAGTAGAGCATGAGATGATTCCTTGGACCAGAGCTCTTTTCATGGGTAAATAACCTTTGCATAGAAAAGTATGGAGGTAGCTGAAACCCAAAGATTAACAACAACAACAACAAATGGCTTATGGCGTCCTGCTAAAATGTACACATTACTTTGAGGGACAAACCAATGGGAAAAAAGGAGACGATTATTGATATTCAGAGACACCCATGCTTTTAGATGGCCAGGTACCTTGTATTTCCCTTTATTTCCCTGTGGAATCAATGCCGCTTGGCTCCTCCAGGGCAGCCTGTGTGTACATGCTGGGTCCACGTTAGTCCTTCCAGCTCACTTTGTCTCTGCAGGGGACCACCTTTGAAATTAGGCTTCACATTTCACAGATGTTTCCCCAGCATAAATCCTGTTCTTTTGGCTTTTTCATTGTCTCTAAAATCTCTCTATGGGGCATGACTGTCCTTGGCAAAGCCATTCCTTTGAACACCTGGCCACAGGATTTCCACCCACTCCATCCCAGGGTGAGCCTGGGAGAGAGAAGGATACTCTCGCATTAAACTTTTGACAGAAGTGATGCGAAGAGAGATACTGTTTCCAACTCACCAGCTTTTTCTGTCTCCCTGTCCTCTCTCTCAGGGACTTGAGTCTCCAGATGGATTCAGCCAGATATAGGAGAGAAAGAACTAAATATGGACAAGAGAATGTAAACTTTGAAGCTTTAACATCAGTTTGGATTAGAGCTCCAAAATTAGGCTATGTGTCCATATTTATGGCACCTCTGGAGTGTGACAAGCGTGGATTTAGGGAAAGTTGGGTGA